GACATAAAAAAAATAAAAGAACCATCTGGTCCTTAATCAGGTTTGTGATCAACAGCAAAGATGATGGAGTCAAAATCCAGAACCAGTGTGTGAAAAACTAAGTACACCTAATGATTCAATAGCTTGTAGAAGCACTTCTAGCAGTAATAACTTGAAGTGAACATTTTCTGTATGACCTCAATCTCCCGTGTTGCTTTGGAGGAATTTTAACCCAGTCTTCTTCACAACGTTGCTTCATCTTGTGGGGGTTTGTGAGCATTCACTTATGCACAGCTCTCTTAAGGTCCCACCACAGACTTTCAGTCTGGTTAAAGTCTGGACTTTGACTCGGCCACTGTTGTAGGTTTGCTGCTGTGCTTGGTATCATTGTCCCACTGCATGACTCACTGTCAGCCAACCTTTATCTGTGTGGCAGATGGCTTCACATCTGACTCTATAATACTTTGGTATACAGTTTTCTAATGTGCCAACTGAGGTCTGCAGTCTGAGATGTGGCTCTTGAGTATTTCTGCAGTTTCTCTGAGCAGTACACGCTCTGACCTTGGGGTGAATAATCATCCTCAGTGTAGAATGAACTTCAGAGACTCACTTCCCAGACTGATGGGTAGCAAAAATTGTTCCTTTAACATCACTGCTGATGTCCTTCCTTCTTTGTGCTGTGTTAAAACACACCTGAATGCTCCAGACCATGAAGCTACCAAAACCTCTGCTTTCATAGAAGTGCTCACAGCTGCTGCTCATGTGCATTTTCTTTGACTGCAGACTTACCAGGAGTGTATGAAGCTGGGCTGCGTGGTTGGTAAACAGCCTGGGTGACTGCTGGCACAGCTGGCAAACCTGAGAAATCTGAACACAAACCATTGCAATCTTAAGCTACAACTGCAAACTGCTGAGAATCTCCAAAGTTAATGTCACAGAATCGATGCTTTTATCCAGAATCATTCATCTGACAACGCAAGGATAAAATCTCTACAGCTGGTGACTCACTTCTTGTAAAGCTGTGGCCTTGTGTCCAGTGACCAGCCGGCACATGATGATATGCTCCAGCAGGATGACTTGAAACGTGGACAGGATGGGACTGCTGTCCAGCACTTTGAGCACACAAATCGGAGGTGATTGATTAACACCATCATCAAGTAGGAAATAATAAGCGAGTGTACGCCATCAAACTTACTCTTCAGCTTCTCCAGCTGCATGAGCGCCTTGTCTGTGTACTTCTGTGCTTTCTCCAAGTATCCCGCCTGCATGGAGTGCATCACAGTCACCTTTTCAGACAAAAACAAACAAGCGATATTACACAAAACGTTATCTGCTTTTGCACTATACTTTCAGTCTTTCGCAAGCTGTGTGTCAGTAAAAGCGTCTCACCAGATACACAAGCACACACATGTGCTCCTTGGGCAGCCAGTGGAAAAGGGCTGCTGGATTAGTGGGAAGGATCTCATCGTCATGGAGAGTGGAGATGGTCTGGATGCACTGCTGCAGCTGCTTCAGACAGGGCTTCACGCTCTTTACCTGAATCCGACACATGCACAGACACTTTGAAGGTTACAGTCGGTCATTTAAAAGAAAAAATAAAATTGAATACTCTTTTTATACAGTGATTAGTGTGTAAATATGCCTTCCAACAAATGTATGCATTCTCATAACTTGAGAATTAATCCATTAAAAATAAGTAGGAGCAGGCACCAGTGAGTAGAAGCTGACATGTTACCCTTTAATCTTAAATACAGCGGGCCTTTCACCAAATCCAGTTTTATGTATGTGGCTAGAGACCAGCCGCATAAGTAGGACACCAAAGGTCAGGGAGAAGAGAAGTCGTAGCCGTTCCTGTGACGTGGAAGCAAATCGTGCCTGCACTTCCAGACTGCAGATATGAAGAATCATAAATGTGTTTTCTCGTCAGAGAAGGGGCCCCGTCACCGAAGAAGTGAAAGCATGAAGGAAAGAGATAACCCACCGGCATCTAGATAAAACCTCCTCAACACCGGAAGCCTCATCTATGAACTGAAGTCAGGGCTCTAACACACAAAAAACGCACACAAGCATCTTATCTCCAGGTAGCTGACAATAAGACGGCTAAACAACATCAGCAGCTGGTTATAAGCTAACATTATTCCCAGGCTCGAGTGTCCTGAAAAT